CTCCCTCCATCTCATCTCCTTCCCTCGCCTCCTTTCCTCGCCTCCTTTCCTCGCCTCCTTCCCTCATCGGCTGTTTCCTTCCTCCGTTTTCCGGCTGCGAACGCGAACTAAACTCATAGTTGTCCCTCCAAACAAACGTTTTTTAAAAGCGTTTTCCGGGTTTTTATCGGCTATTTTCATCATAAAAAGTTTAGATTTGATTAAAACTGTGAAAACCAGCTGGATGCTTCCTGATGTGCTCTGTTTGAGTACGTAAATAAGTGGGAAATATGTGTAAATGTGTTGGAATTTCATAACCTAAAAGGACAAAATAAGGCTTAAAGTGTCTCTTTTGGTCATATAGGGAAAATGTCCCATAAAATATGAGTTAATTTGACAAAAATATATGTTGTTTTTCTTAAATATGTTGTTTTTATTAAATAAACTGATGTAATCCCAAAACACTGATGAAGGAATAAATTAGTAAAGGAAATAAAAAATAATCAGAATTTCTCAGATTTAAACAGTTTAAATCCAGTTTTATGAACACTGCCTCTGAAAATATGAGATAATCTGACACTAAATAGATTTGTTTTTCATAATAAGATATCTGAAAATTAAAGTGGAAATCAGAAATTCCTACAGAAAGCTGCAGGTTTTTTTGAGTTTCTTCCCTTTTCGGGGCTAAAAAAAAGATGGAAACAGGTTGATGTCATAACCTAAAAGGATAAAATTAAGCTTAAAGTGTCTCTTTGCTCAGTTTGTGGGAAAATCCACCTAAAAATGTGAGTTTATTTGACAAAAATGATGGAAATATTTAAGTTTTTACACAAAAAGATTAAATAATCCCACTAATTAATAGAATAGAAATCTTTATTGATCCCACAGTGGGGAAATTTACACATTACAACAACAAAAAAAGGAAAAAATCACAATCAAAGTGGAAGCATAAATAATAAATGAAGGTTATTTACAATAAAACACGAATAAATAAAAGTACATTTAATTTAGGAATCAGAGAAATTACTAAAATAAATAAAAATAAATTAGAATATCTCACATTTAAACTTTGAATATCTGGTTTGGAAGCTGAAACAGGTCGATTTCAGAGTGAAAACAGATTCTGAGGGTTGAAAAAGGGTTAAAAATAGGAAAGTTGGGTCTGATTTTACACAAAAATCATGAAAACATGTCAGTTTTTACACAAGAAGATGAAATAATCCCAGAAAATTCAGTTAGAAATCAGATAAATGACTAAAATAAATAAAAATTAATCAGAATATCTGACATTTGGACTGTGAATTCCTGCTTTTCTCCTCCAGAATCAGCTCTAATTTCTACTAAATGAGCAGAAATTCCACATTTTGGGGTGAAAAATAACCACTTTAACGCCATAATAATTAATTTCTTCTTGTTCTTTCCTTTAATCCAAACCAAATCAGATTAAAGTGGATTTCTGGGTCTTTTTGGGGCTGAATGACTAAGTCTATTGATCAAACTGCGCATGCGCGGAGCGGCCGCTAGATGGCGGTGTTACGCCACTACGGACAAACAGGAACCGGAGGAGGAGACGAAGAAGGGAAGGAAGGAGAGGAAGGAGATGAGGAGAGGAAAGGAGACAAAGATGGAAGGAGGCAAGGAAGGAGAGAAAAGGAGGGAAGGAGACGAGGAGGGTAAGGAAATGAGGTAAGGAGACGAGGAAGGAAAGGAGAGGAAGGAGACAAGGATGGAGAGCAAAAGAGGGAAGGAGAGGAGGACAGGAGATGAAGGAGAGGTAAGGAGGTAAGGAGACGAGGAGAGGAAAGGAGAGGAATGAGATGAGGAAGGAAAGGAAAGGAGGGAAGGAGAGGAGGTAAAGGAGGGAAGGAGGGAAGGAGACGAGGAAGGAGAGGAGTGAAGGAGATGAGGAAGGAAAGGAAGGAAGGAGATGAAGAAGGAAAGGATGTAAGGAGACAAGGATTGGAAAGGAAGGAAGGAGACGAGGAAAGAAAAGAGAGGAGACAAGGAGGGAAAGGAAAGGAGGGAAGGAGACGAGGAAGGAAAGGAAAGGACGAAAGGTGACGAGGAAGGAAAGGAGGGAAGGAGGGAAGGAGACGACGAGG